CTTCCGAGGTCAGTAAAACGAGGACCTAGATTGTTTGGGGCAGAATGCTGACTATGTAAACCACTTAGAGTGGGATGCAAAACACTGCAAAGCGGTATATAAGTGTAAGTGCTACTGCTATGACTAAGTTAACAATGGCAACGATTCACTTAGGAACTGTGGTTAGAAAGTCCATAACATGGGCCAAAGAAACTGTCTCACTTGCTTAGCAACAGAGACTTTGGGCCGAATTGTGGTTGTAAGTCGAGGACTACCTACAAATAAATTTAGAAAACTGTATCCCACGGACGGAACTGATACCTGCTCGGCAGAATTTTTCCATCAGCTCGTGTCGAACGGCCTTCTCCAGATTGAAGTAGTTGTGGTCCTCTTCAGGTTCGTTTACGAAGAAGGGGATGTGCTGGAACACGACGGCATGGCGGCACTGCTTTTTCTCCGCCAGGGCCAGTTGCTGCTCCAGCCACGCGTCCTGCGCCGCCTTTAACGCCGCGCATCGAGAAGCGTCGAAATACAGCTGGGAATTCAGCACGAGAAAGAAGACGCCGCCGACCCAAAAGCTGAAGTAATCATCGCCCCACTGCTGGCAATAATCGCGGACGGTTTCCGGCGTGGGTGTGTTGCCCAAGTCGTGATTGCCGCTGACGAAAACCAGAGGGATGTCGCTTCTAAGGTCCTTCAGGACATTTCTTAGGTCCCGGATTTGGGCCTCGCGCCATTCCGTCCCTGCAAAACAAGAAGCACGAAGTGTTAGGACCATAATGGCGAACATACAGCACGCTTGCCACAGGTGGCATGCGCCACCATTTCTGAAGGCACCTGAGGCATTGCCCTGCCAGCTCCAGCAGATTTTTGGCCTTGATTTTCACCCCTTTTTGGCCATCAGGCTTCCCTGAAGCCTCCGGAGGGCGAAAAACCGCCTAACATGCAAACCGGAAGTTCAGGAATGGACTTCCGGTTTGTATGTTGGGTGGTTTTTCACCTTCCCCAGGTTTCCTGAAAGCGTCTGGAGCCTGGGGAGGGACAAAAATGGACCTACCAGGCCCACCGGAAGTCGGGAAATGGGCCGTTTCTGGCCTCTGGGGGCCTCCAAGAGGTGGGGGAGGCTGTTTTCACCCTCCCCAGGCTCCTAGAAAGCCTCTGGAGTGTGGGCTGGGCGAAAAACTCCCCCCTGTGCAGGATGTTGGGAAATGCTCAACCAGGCAGAGAGGGAGTCTCAAGTGAGGAATTAGCTTAGAATTGTTGCGTAGCCACAAGAGATCCAAAACCAGGAGTGGGTTCCTGCCAGTTCTAACCTCTTCTATAGAAGAGGTTCCACAAATCTACC